TTAAAGCTTTCGTGACTGCAGGGATTCATATTCTTGGTTCTTTCGGTGACTTTACCGAAAGGACCGAGAATATAAGTAGAACGTGTTGTCTATATTTATTTAAAGTTGCGCATTTTGACGTGACGTCACATTTCTCAACCCCCCCCCTCCCCCCCTTGTCACACATCGTCACGAATGTCTGACCCCCCCCTCCCCCCCTAGGGTGCGTGACGTCATTTATGGACGGACCCTATGCAAACCTGTTTTCGCGTCTTATTTTCGCCCTCACAGCTACGCGTGTCGCCTTCCATGCCGCTCTTTAAATGCTTGTGAGGGCGAGCGCGTCTTTGGGAGGCGCTGCGTAATTGCAGGCGTGCGCGGGACAATTCCCCTAATTTGGAGTTCGTTTTCCAAAGCCATCGCCGCTGGCAGCGGGGATCCAGACGTGCGAAGCGGTGGAACGGATCAAAACAGGCCTCGCTGTTTACCTTGAATCCTCCAACCACACGGTCCACTCTGACCTCGTAATCACGGGGCACCGTCAGACTCCCTCCATCAGCGACGTGGGTGCCCCAATTGCCGAAGGTGTATTGAGAATAATAGGTCCACCGCTGTCGTGGAATATCGTTTCATTTGTAAATACAATTCCAATGACATCAGGTTACGTTTTTGTTTTACTTTGAAACTTCAACTTGACCGTGCAGGGCATGAATGTTCGGCGCCACACGCGTGGATTGGAGGCATCTTCAAGGGCCTGGAGGTTCTTGCAATTGGATGATGTACCCAATGTCACGAGGTTAATTTGCGTTCGTTTCTAAATACAGATTTCCCCAGCTCTGTGGCGGGGTTTCTTTCGTGCGAATTCGTGTCCATGCGGCTCACCTATTTCTCCCCACAATTCGCGATATGCGGTGTTTAATTAACTCTCTACATGCGGCACTGTGCCAATGGTCGGCACCAAAAAAAAGAAGTGGAAAACATTTTTGTACGGTATGTGTGTGCACTGTGTGTTTGTGTGCACTGTGTGTGTACTGTGTGTGTGTGCTGTATGTGTGTATTGTGCGTGTACGGTGTGTGTACTGTGTGTGTGTCTACTGTGCGTGTCCTGTGTGTGTACGGTGTGTGTACTGTGTGTGTATGGTGCGTGTAAACGCTATGTGTGTGTGTACTGTGTGTGTATTGTGTATGTACGGTGTATGTACGGTGTGCACTGTGTGTGCACTGTGTGTGTACGGTGTGTGTACTGTGTGTGTATGGTGCGTGTAAACGCTATGTGTGTGTGTACTGTGTGTGTATTGTGTATGTACGGTGTATGTACGGTGTGCACTGTGTGTGCACTGTGTGTACTGTGTGTGTGTACTGTGTATTTACGGTGTGTGTACTGTGTGTGTACGGTGTTTGTACGGTGTGCACTGTGTGTGCACTGTGTGTGTACGGTGTGTGTACGGTGTGCACTGTGTGTGCACTGTGTGTACTGTGTGTGTGTACTGTGTATTTACGGTGTGTGTACTGTGTGTACGGTGTGTGTACTGTGTGTGTACGGTGTGTGTACGGTGTGCACTGTGTGTGCACTGTGTGTGTACGGTGTGTGTACGGTGTGTGTACGGTGTGCACTGTGTGTGTACTGTGTGTGTGTGTGTGTATTGTGTATGTACGGTGTATGTGCGATGTGTGTACTGTGTGTGTGTACTGTGTGTGTGTGTGTACTGTGTGTACTGTGTGTACGGTGTGCATTGTGTGTGTACTGTGTATTTACGGTGTGTGTACGGTATGTGTATACGGTGTGCACTGTGTGTACTGTGTGTGTGTACTGTGTGTGTACTGTGTGTGTACGGTGTGTACTGTGTGTACTGTGTGTGTGTACTGTGTCCGCCACTCGGGAGGCGCAGTTTCGCTTTGCATGCCCCTTTCTTTTTGTTTGGAATGCATCTACTGCTGCCGCATAGAGAGCGTGGAAAACCTGCCCTGCAGCGGTCAATGTAAACTTAAACGTCAAGCAAAGCCTCGCTGAGTCTTGGGGAGGGTCACGCGACGAGGCTGTTTGCCCGCTTGCATTTTTAGCGAGCGGCTGTTGCGTTTGCGGAGGGGAAAAGCCGAGTGGCGCGGAGGAAATCCGCACGATTCGACGCTTATAACGCTCCGAAGTTCACACGGGCGGGTTCACGAACGCTGCTCGCAGCGGCGGTCATCTCCTGGCCGCTGTCGTCTCGGCGGATCGATTTCGTGAATTCTCTGCGCGGTTCCAAGAGACCCTTTCCCTAACAAAAAAAAGAAGGAAGAAAAAAAATTCGCCGGATCGTCACCGCGTGTATCGTCGCCGATCTCCGCGCATAGCATTCGTGGCAGCCGCCGTGACGCCCCCGACAAAGAGCGACAACACCCCCGACACGTTGAGCGCGTTTGCATTAAAGAGCGGTTTTGCTCTCGCGTGCCAGTGGCGATGCGCCGCCTGATTTACCGCCGGAGAATCTCCATCTGTTACCGTTTAGGAAAAGCCGCTCTCCGCTTTTGATCAGGTCTGGCATTTGCGGTTAATAATGACCCTCTCCCCAAACAGTGAGCACATTATGCTGAAATATTTGTGTATATTTTGCACAGACCTTCAATAAACTTGACTTTATTATCATTACCCTTCGTCGTTCTTTAACCGTGAGTAGTGATTTCTAGCCATTATCCACTTTATGCTTCATTGAGCCTCCAAATGAATACATTTGTGTAATGGTCCCCGACCTAAGCGTAACTTAATGGACGGCATTCGGTTTCTGATTTTTTTTCTCCGCCGTGCCGGTGGATTTATGCCCTCTACGGACGAACAGGGGGCGTCTCTAAACGACGCCGCCGCCACCACCGCCTGCCTGCCTGCGCCGCACGTCTGGCGATCGCCGGGGCCTCGGCAAATCCGGCGACCGAACTGAGATTGTGTGTGTGTGTACGCGGCGCTCTCTTGGCGATTCGCGCGAACGCCGGCGTAATTGACGGTAATCGAATTTTACGACGGCGCGGACAAATAGCGTTGACAGGGCGCCAGGCAGGGATGTAATTGAAGCTCGCCCCGGGCAAAGCGGGTGGCTATTCGGACGCGCGCCGTCGGCACGGGCGTTTGGCGGGCAGGGCCTCATTTGTCACGGAAACTGTTTTCCGGGTTGCAGGTGGAGACCGGAGTCGGACTCGGAATCTTTATTTGCATTGGAGAAAAATCCGATGAGCCGCGAAGCTCTTTTTCACACGTGTCCGGCAGGGACGCGGGTCAGAAAATTGGAGCGGGCACGTGACTTGTGGACACGGCAATCGACGACCGAGATGACCTTCGTGGCCAAAGGCAAAAGCGGGGTGTGGGGAGGGGGCTTACCGGGTCCGCGGTGCTGGGTGCAGACATATCTTCTGGGGTGGCTGCTAGAACAGAACGTGCGATTAGTGGACCGGATGTCGTATACCGGGTGTAAAAAAAATGTCAACTACAATTTTATTTTTTTTACCAGCGAAGGCCCAATGAGCTATATAAATCTTTTCAGAATCGACCTGACCACATATGATAGATCAACGAATTGGCTTATCACGTGGAAATATGTAGCAGCCAAATGTTATACATGCGTGTTTCTATTTGAATCGGGAAAAACTGGAGGACCCAGAGAAAAACCCCACGCTACCACGGGGAGAATATGCACGCTCCAGATAAACAGGCGGCAGGGTCTGGATGGAACCCATGACCACCTGTATACCAAGCGAGGTAGTTAACATCTCGCCACCGCGGCACCCCGGGCCACCGACTCAGACAGACCCCGGTTGAGATGAAGCCCTGGTTACAGGCCACCACACCGTGTAGCTTTCCGGCGCAACCGTCGAGTCTTAACCGTAGCGTTCAACCCGGATTGCCGTCCGTCTCAAACATGAAACGCACGCACACGACACTCTCTCTTCATTTTGAGATTTTGTTCCCTCGAGTCCGAGGCCTGGAAGGGGAGGCTTAATTCAAAGACGGTGCCAGTTTCATCGTGGGATTCCACCTTGACAGCGCGTGAATGTTTTTTTCTTTGGGGCCAAGACCGCAATTTTATTTTTTGACTCGTACACAGCTGTGAATGTACGTATGTTGAACTTCTTTCACACCGCATGTAGCCAAACGTGCTCATCGGAGGTGCGACGAAAGGACAACAAACTAAACACAAACAAGCAGTTGCCAAGTGTCCGGCCTGCGCTTGCGACGCCCATTAACGGCGTTGCCGTTTCTCGGTTTTTCCGCGAATTCAGAATCCGAGCGAGTGGCGCATCTCTTGGCATTCCGTTTCCGCGCGCCAGCGCCAGCCGCCGGCGAGTCGCGCGGCCCGGCCGTCGGAGCGGGTGTGTGTGCGCGTGTGCGTGCGTGCACGCGCGCGCCGGGGATTTTATTTTTCCGGCCGCCCGGTTAGGTCGAGTGGCACGCGCCGCCACCCCCGTGCACGCCACGCACGCCACGCGACCGCCCCGGTGTCGGCGCGGTGTCGCGTCCTCGTCAACTCCCGCGCCGACGCCGCGGGAGGAGCGCCGGAAAGGATCCCTATGATGAACCCACCCTCCCGCGCGACTTGACAGTTTTAACCACGGCGACACCAAAAACAATATGTGTGTTACTTTCGAACAAACATCTCAACATTAAGAACTTGTTTCACCGGTGCACCAGAGGCATTAGAATGACGTATACCCACTCCGAAGTGTTAATAGCTTTTCTAGCCTCGTGGGGCAATTATATTCACATAATAGGAAAATTAAAAATGGCTTTGCCTTCAAACTACAGCTGGAAATTAGTTTGTAAGTAATGACAGTCATTCGGCACGCCGCCTTATAAAACTGGATCTGTCAGGGTTGATGGACAATGATCATTAACTATAATTTAAACTCGCGAGGGGCATTTTTTCTTTGTCCATAAAATCCATCGCGGCGTGCCACATCAGGAATAAAAAATGGCTGTTTTTTCATTAATATTTCAGTTGCCTACATATTTCATCCTGCCACTGACAGCCGCTCATTCTGACCCCGCCGGTTCTCCGCGAGCCTCCTTCCCGCGCTCCCCGCGTCGTTGCGACCCGTCCTCTTACACCTCTTTCCCTTCTGTATTCCAGCGTGAGTTTTTTTTTTTACTTTACATTCCGCCACGGTTTTTGAAGCTCCGTGTGAAAAATCGCTCGCACTCCGAGTCCCGCGGCGCGACGGTGGGCCCCCCCCCCCCCACCCTCGGCTTTATTCTTTGAGCCGAGGGTCTCGTTTTGTGCACAGCGCGTCGCCGCGATGCGCTCGCTCGCGCGTCCGTTAGGGTCCCTCTTTAGGGTGTCGTTGAAAACGCCCGACGTTTGTTTTTTTTTTGTTTGTCAGGTCCTGGCATCGATTGCCCAACGGGATGTTGTTTGTCGTCGCGCGTGGACTTTTTTTGCTTGCATTCGATTGAGATGCCTTGAGTGGTTTTCGAACGGCAGTTGCAGTCGATGTAATGAAGTCCTCACGTGTGGGTTATTTTCTTAAACTGAACCGACGGAAACTCACGTCCGTAATCATTTACAAGCGCGCGTCAATCCACTGCTGAGTGGAGGCCTGCCCATGATGCCACGTCTGCCGCGGGGATTGTTTGACCGTACTTCGCCGCCTGCGTCCGTGTGGATGGTCAGTGCAGGTTAGTGAAGTGCAGGAGCGAGAGATCGGTTCAGATGTCACTCGCCATTGATGTTAGCCATGGCCTGTAATCAAAACCGGGCCACCAAGATCACAGCACAGTGCACTAACCACGTGTTAAAATGCACATTCACCTCTGCTATATCGTTCAGCTATTCATCCAGCAGTGGACTGATCATTGCTATGGATGATGATGATGATGATGATGATCCTGTTTATCACAGTGCCACAAATTCCCTCGTTCAAGTATAAATATGTGTCGCCACCTTTTGGAGGGATGCTTGGGAAAGTATGAACACATCGATAAACCCATGGCATGCTGCTTCAATTGGAGCAAGTTATACTCTGTTATTGATTGCTTAAATTGTATCTTCTCCTCAGAGTTGGCCTACACAACGGACTTCGCGATTCACCTTCCATCCACTCGGTAAACCTTTTGTCGTCACTTTCTGGACAATGACACAATGACATTTTGTAGGTAATAAGGTTTTTTAATGTATGTATATATGTGACCCTGCCTCCCATTGCCCCCCCCCCCCCCCACCTCATATGCAGAGGCTAGACGAGATGGACAAAATGTTAACTTTTCCAGCTGAGAAATTTTTCTCCAAAATATATATAATTGAAAACCAGTTGCTGATATATGTAGTTGCTGAAACGACAAAAACGCACACACACACAGTTTAATTCAGTGCGCACTGCGTCTGCAGAGCTCCGGATCATAATCAACCTCATTAATCAATGTCTAAGCACCAAGAACTAAGTTCTGTGCCCCGAGGCAAGATACGTCAGGAGAGAATCAATGTCATAATCATCGGGCCTCATCAAGGAGCGGGCGATAGCCCACAGCCTCTCCACACACGCGCTGCCCTCTGACTTCCTGCGCGGGCTGCCCTCTAAACCCCCGACCCCCCCATTAGCCTCCCCCCATTCCCCCACTCCCTCCCCCCCCCCCACTATTCCACCCCCCACACAAAAGAGACGACCCCCCCCCCATTTAGCCCTACAGGCTGTTGACGCGAACGCTCTCAGTGCTGTTTGTTCCTGCCCGCCTGCTTTTTTTTATGCCATCCGGCCTGTGATTAGCGAGCGCGGTTTAAAGGGAAGCGAATCTGTTGGGAGGCCCCGAACTCGTCACCGAACTCGTCACAGAACTCGTCACAGAACTCGTCACAGAACTCGTCACAGAACTCCTCACCAAACTCGTCACAGAACTCGTCACAGAACTCGTCACCAAACTCGTCACAGAACTCGTCACTTAACTCGTCACTTAACTCGTCACATAACTCGTCACAGAACTCGTCACCAAACTCGTCACATAACTCGTCACAGAACTCCTCACCGAACTCGTCACCGAACTCCTCACCGAACTCCTCACCGAACTCGTCACTTAACTCGTCACTTAACTCGTCACCGAACTCGTCACTTAACTCGTCACCGAACTCGTCACTTAACTCGTCACTTAACTCGTCACCGAACTCGTCACAACGCACGAGGCGGTGGTTGTGGCCGTTGCCTCCCCAGTCTGTTAAGTTTACACACTGCACGAGGTACTCATCCAGGCTCATTGTGATTCGTTGTATTAACACACGCCTTGATGTAATTAGACTGTAAACTCACCACCGCTCTGTCAGTTGTGGTTGAGAATTGGCGCCAGCTCTCCACTAAGTGGAAGTGGCGGCACCACCACCACCACCACACTTGTGCCAGGCTATGTGCATCCTAAGAGCACGTGCAGTGTCGAAGGCTCGCTGGCAGGAGGTCACGGGACCAGAGCTAGGTGTTATCATTGAACTGAGATCTGAGATCTGAGATGACTGACAGATGCACCGGCTGGTCTCCGCACTGTGGCACCTCACTGCGTTTTAGTCGCCCGGCGCTCCGCACGTTGTTGTGAGCGTCGATCCTCTGCCCAGCACTCATTCAACAACAACCGCCATTCACCACGAAGCGGCGGTGAAGTCACTCCAGTTAACACGTTTGGCTATGTATGGTGCGAAAGAAGATCAACATACATAAATCACCACGACACACATGCACATTGGCACGCGCGCGTGTGCGTGCGTGCTGTGATTGATCACCACACCTCCCGCTTGACGTGAATGTCAGTCATTTTCACCAGCGTGCCTTTCAAGTTATTTCGCGTGCGTGGTGTCGGGGGAGTCGGAAAGAAACGTTACCACTTGTGCTCCGGACCACCGTGGTGGCATTTGTTCACTCGCTCTTGTCAACTTTATTTTGAGACTCGGTTTAGAGCAAACAAAAAAATACCAAAAGTCCGTTGTGCAAAGGCGATGTCAGTTGCTAAGCCGTGCGACAAATCAAACGATGAAAATGTAAGGTCTGGATAATGAAGAAAACAACCTTAAGTTAACTCAGGTTATGTAGATGTTGGGAGGCCCTTCATCCAGCAGTGGATTGATTAAATCCTTTCGATTATTTTGTTGAATTTTTATTGTCTATTCCGGTAGAAAATAACCCACGCGGAAAATGTAACATCTGCGTGGCCAGACCAAGTGCTGCTGTGGTTTGCACACTTTTCAAGGGCATTTAATGAATTGCAAAGTCAATCCTCAACCAACAATAATCATATTGGGCGACTGCTGCACGTGAAAATAATATTTTGGCATCGTTATTTTTGATAATTCATTAAGACAGTTTAGAATTGAGTAATATACTGCCTCGAGGTAGAACTTCAAACCTCAAGCGATACAGGAGGTGACGGGGTGGCTCAGATAAGAGGTCACAGCCAGCAGTGTTGACATCCTGGCTTTGAAACCAGGTAGTTTACTAAACAAAAACGCCCTGGCAAGCAACACGAAAACACCGTCGGAGATTATGTACAGCACAATCCCCAGAACCCTACAGAGGAGTTCCACTCCGGAGACTTGGAAGGAATCACTTTTTAAGCACAAGAATGATGCAATGGTTCAATCCGGCCGGATGGCTCACTGGTGGAGTGAGCAGCTCGCAATCGCAAGTTCAAATCCTGGTTGGCGGTTGACTCGGCCCATCATCTCTCCGGGAGTCCATAAACATAAAATAAGTACCACTGTGCGGGGAAGTCATCAGTGACTGTCCTCTGGACAAAGTCGCCCTCACCATAGGATGCGGTGTATTGGAGAGCAAAGCCACAACATTTACAATCCGGTGTGCTGTACTGGTAACACATTGGCATGTTCTGTTTACATGACAAACCTTACTAATTGGCTGTGTCGAGTGGCGGCGGGTTTAACGACATTTACGCGATCTAACCCAAAAAAAAACCTGTATTATGGATGATATTGGTCGCGAAAACCTACTAGGTGTTGAACCGACATCGGTTGTGTGTTGGAGAACAAACCTAGTCCCGTGCTTGCGTAAGGACTTAAGCTACAGACCGATTCCAGTTCAGTCGCTCGTAAGCGGTGAGAAACGGCGGCGAAGACCTTCCTGTCCGTCTGTCCGCGTATCCCCCCCCCCCCGCCCCTGTCCCCGTGTATCCGAGCCTCCTAGTCTCGTGCTTGCGTAACAACCCAAGTGACTCTGTCTGCAGCGGCGGTGGCGGTGGCGGGTGAGGCCCAGAGCGGAGGGTTACCCGTCGGTGTTTGCAGAATCTCGCGAATGGGAAAGGCCGCAGCTGCTTCGAGCGGCACGGTGGTTTGCAAGTGTTGATGTCTGCGGCGCAGAGAATAAACAGCCCGGGGCCCAGCGTGAGTCGTTGTTTTGACATGCCTTGAATAATTAACTGTAAACTGACCTCAAATATAACACCACAAAAAAATGTTATACACGCACACAACTTGCCAATTTCAGATTTTTTTTTTACTAATTAAAATGTTTGGCCTCTTTTTTTTTGCTTTCTTGAAGTTCACATTCATCTTAATAATTACCCATGTCAACAGTTCATGTATTTTCTTTTAAATGTGCTAAATTTTCATTTTGAGAGCATTTACGTTTATGTAAATAATGCCTTCTGTAGGGGCGCTTCCAACAGAGCCTGGGACGAGAGCATTACTCAACACCACTACATCAAATATAATATTTAAAAGTATATATTTTCAATAGATACATATGCGGGGTAATGATCAACACGCCGGGCTTGCAATCCGGAGGCTGCCGGTTCGATTCCATCTTCCGGCATAGCAGTTTAAAAAAACAGGGAAGTTAAATCACCCGAGCAAGCAGTACACATGGGTTCACCGCAGTTAATCGACCAGCTGGTCACGAGCGGTGGGGCAAAGTGTGGGGACGCCCACCCCTTCCACAGTGTTGGATCAACGTGGAGGTGTAGGCCAAATACCCTCTCAGAGTTCCCTCCGGTGGAGCACCCTTCCGCCGGCAGTGGCGTGAGCGAGCAATTGGAGGTCCTCACCTTTACCTTTTTATATATAAACAACTTCATTTATTGCTAAATAATATCACGTACAATTAGACGATAGAGCAAAGCGGTGGCATCGTGGTTTGCGCGCTGACCTTTGAACCTGAGAGTTGAGCTCAAAAACAGAGGACACTTGACCGAAGCACATGGAACTACATTTGAAAGGTGCACACGGCAGACGCATGCTGGGGATTTGTACTGAAGAGACGGACAGAGGATTACTCGGAACAGAGAACAAACATAAATTTAGAAACGAAAGAGGCGCGCACAAGAAAAGCACCACGTACGCTGGGAACCACCACAGATTAGAGACGTCGTATTCACTGTTCGGGAAAGCAAGTGGGATCAGGCAGGACACTTAGGAGGGATGTTAGCCGATGGTCAAGAATGCTGATGGAACGGCAGCCAAAGGAGAGAGGCCGCGTTGATTTCAGGGCACGAGCGGCGGCCACAGGGAGAGGACGACCGGCGCGGAGACGGAGCGAGGAGCCCGGCTCGGCACGCGGCAGCTCGGCGGGGCTGCGGCACCGCTGGCGCCCGCGAGGTGATGCCCACGACCACGGGGATGCCTACGTCGTCCAGCAGCAGGTAGAAAAAAAAGTCAAGTCGGCGGCGACGAGAAAACATCGAGACGACGGGGCCTGCCGTCCTGAACGCCGCTCGGCGAGCGGATGGGGGAGGGGAGAGACGAACGCTCCCCCCGGTGTCCCGCGCAACACCTCCGCTCCATCACCTGCACTGTATTTGTCGTCCCCATCGGTCACGCGGTGCATGAACCTGCCGCGCGGTAATTTTTTTTCTTCTTCCCCCCCCCCCACACCCGGCCGATCCTCCTCCTCCTCCTCCTGCCGTGTCGTGACAAGAGCGGCGCGCGGGGGCGTGACGCCGCTGTAATGCGGCTGTCGGAATCGAGCGCCATCCTCCCCGTCACCGTCCCGTTCGCCTCTCATTCCCCGCCGCTCAGCCGCGACTGTGCGTAATGGGGTTCCCGCACTCTCGCCCCCCCTCCCCCCCTCTCCCTCTCAAGAGTCCTGATGCGCATTAACGTCGGGAGAGATTCCGCCGAACATGCAGCGCGCGTGACTTACGCCGGCCTCCCCCTCCCGCCCCACCTCTCCGCTGAAAAATGAGCGAGGTTCACCTGGGTGTGGAAATTGGAGTAAAGGGGAAAGTAGGAAGGGGGGGGGTGGAGAAAGTCAGTTTCGCTGCTCGGTTCGTTGGCTTCCGAGCGTTTAGCGCGCAGGCGACGCGGCGGCGGCGGTGCCGCGTCGGATTTGAGGAGCGGCGAGATCGCCGTGCGAGCGGATCGCTCGGACGCAGCAAAGACGCGCGGCAGGCATTACGCGTTACGGCCGACGCGAACTGCGTCTGGGGAGTGTTAGTTGGCGTGTGAAATTGGACGTGACGGGAGAAAGCGAGAGCCGCTAAATGTTGCAGAATCTAACGAGCGAGGAGCGAAAAGGGCCCTACCCCCTTACCCCCTCCCCCGATCCCCCCTGATCCCCCCTGATCCCCCAGCCCCTTCAACCCCCAACGCCGTCCCAGACGGTAAACTAAGAGCTCTTTCAACACCATCACCTTCCGGCCACGTCAAAGCAGAAGACGTCGGCGCGCGTGCCGATCGGCAAGGGCTTAAATCATTCGTTTCATTTAACAAAATTTTTATAAATCAATTAAAATGAGATCAGTTGGTGTTAAATTGAGTTGGCGGGGGGGGGGTATTTGTTGCCCCAAACACATTGGGTGAGTAAATCCAAGGTCCCTTTTTTGCCCTCGACTCCCACGCCTATCAACGCTTAACGTTTAAGACGATAATTGAAAGGTGCAGAGTGTATAGCTGGGTGCAGAGGTGCAGTGGGGAGATGGGGGGGGGGAAAGGAGCGATTGCCCCAACATTTTCTGCGATGAAGAAGAGGCCCATTGCTTGAAACGTCAACAACCGTATATAATTTTCCCACATTTATCCGCAGCGTCAGCGACGAACGCGTTTGCCTTGTCGCCGCACGTCTTCGACAACGTTTGGAGATTTTTGTTTTGTTTCAGTGTGAAAAAATAAACAAAAAAATCGAGAATGGTCGGGCGTTCGTGACGTCTATTTCATTCTGCGCACGCTCACTGTCGCACAATGCACACATGCATGTTGGACTTATTTCGCACCGTACGTAGCCAAGGAACGGAGAGTCTGAATTTTGAATCCCCTTTGGAAGGGAAACAATTTTGCCCGCTACGCGCAACGTTGATTTGGCCGGCGTGCCTCCCGGATGTCTCCAGGAGCCCCGGTCATCGTCGTCGTCGTAGTCCTCGCTATCCTCTGTTCTTTGTTTTATAGTTTCATCTTCCTGAGGGCCGCAGATGCGTACCGACACGATCTTGCCTTTTGCAGTGGTTCTCTCAGCTCGGCATCTCCCAGCACCCGCCCCCCACCTCTCACACGCACAGTTTTTTCACTTCGCCAAATGTATGCGACGAAATAAATCGCATCGGCTGTGAACAAACTTGACGAGCGTCATTTTCCCTTTTTTTACATCTATATTTATATTCGTTGCCTTATTTTTGTTCGTTGTAAAGTGAATGGAATTTGTTTTATTTCCTCCCTCCCCTCACCCCCCAATGAAAACGGCGGTCTCGACTACAGAGCATGTGGTGGTGATGATATCGGTGGCCAGGCGGTCTCCGCCCTCCCCACCCCAACCGCCCCCCTCCCCCCGGGAAATCAGCCAGCTTCGCGAACTTCCATTCATCACGCCGCCGCCCTGTGACAGGTCGAGAGAAGTGCGTGCCGGACAGGAGGCGAAGGATCCAGAAGGGCCGAGAAGCTTCACGTGGCCGGCAATCCACGCGACCCCGGCTCCGTGCCTCCGCGTCGCCCCGTCAACGCCGGGAGACTTTTTGCATTGGACGATCCATTGTGCAGGTCATTGCCCACGCGTTCGCATCTCCTCCACACCAATGAGACGGTTGCGGAAGAGCTCCCCCCCCCCCCCCCACAGTATGCCACTGCGGTGACGCGGCGTTCTGCTTCGATCACGTACATCCGTGGACCTCTGTGTGAGTCTATCGGTGTCTGTGTAGGTCTGTGGACCACATCGTAATGCCACTGCCTGCTTTGAGCATTCATCTGTGGCTCTCTATGTGAGTCTATGGTTCTCTATGTGAGTCTATGGCTCTCTATGTAAGTCTATGTCTCTCTATGTGAGTCTATGTCTCTCTATGTGAATCTATGGCTCTCTATGCTAGTCTATGGGTCTATGTGAGTCTATGGCTCTCGATGCAAGTATATGGCTCTCGATGTGAGTCTATGGCTCTCTATGCGAGTCTATGTCTCTATGTGAGTCTATAGCTTTCGATGCGAGTCTATGGCTCTCTATGTTAGTCTATAGCTCTCGATGCAAGTCAATGGCTCTCTATGTGAGTTTATGGCTCTCAATGTGAGTCTATGGCTCTCGATGCAAGTCTATGGCTCTCGATGTGAGTATGGCTCTCTATGTGAGTCTATGTCTCTCTATGTTAGTCTATAGCTCTTGATGCGAGTCTATGGCTCTCAATGTGAGTATGGCTCTCTATGTGAGTCTATGTCTCTCTATGTTAGTCTATGAATCTCCACGTGAGTTTGCATCTTAAAGCACGGACCGCACGGAATATTCTTTTCAGTCGTTCCCCCACGAGGCTTCTGAAGCCGTCCGCTGGCTCCCTCGCTCGCCCAGCGAACCCACCCCACCCACTCACCTATCCACCTATCCACCCAACTATCCACCCACCTACCCACCCAACCCACCCACCCAACCGACCCAACCCACCCAACCCACCCAACCCACCCACCCAACCCACCCACCCCACCCAACCCACCCACCCAACCGACCCAACCCACCCACCCACCCAACCAACCCACCCACCCAACCAACCAACCCGCCCAACCAACCCTCCCAACCCACCCAGCCAACACACCCAACCCAACCCAACCACCCCACCCACCCAACCAACCCACCCAACCAACCTTACAAACCCACCCAACCAATACAACCCACCCACCCTCCCAACCCACCCAACCCACCCAACCCACCCAACCCAACCCAACCAGCCTACCCACCCACCCAACCCACCCACTCACCAAACCCACCCAACCCACCAAACCAACTCTCCCAACCCACCCACCCATATCACCCTACCAACCCAACCCACCCAACCACCCCACCCACCCAACCAACCCACCCAACCAACCTTACAAACCCACCCAACCAATAAAAACCACCCACCCAACCCAATCCACCCAACCTACCCACCCACCCATCCCACCCACTCACCAAACCCACCCAACCCACCAAACCAACTCTTCCAAGCCACCCACCCATACCACCCTACCAACCCAACCCAACGCACCCAACCCACCCACTTACCCAACCCACCCATCCCATCCAACCCAACCCACCCTACCAACCCAACCCACCCTACCAACCCAACCCACCCACCCAACCCAACGCACCCAACCTCCCAACCCACCAAACCCACCCACTCCACCGACCCCACCCGGCCTCCACGTGAAAACGCGCAACCACCGCTCGTCAACTCACCCCAAACGCGCGTGCAGACGAGGGAGAATCTCGTCTCGTTGCAATTTAATTTTCCTCTCGCTGCCGATGAACCGTCGTCGTCCTCCTCGTCCTCGTCGTCGGTGTCGTCGGACGTTCGCGCTGTGGGGTTCAGGAGTTCGTCCGTTGTTCATCGTTGGCCCCGGTGTGGTGCCCCAACGTAGAGGCCGCCGAGGGTTATTAAAGCGTCGCGTTTCTTTTTAAGTGCCCGGGATATTTTTTGTTTGTTTTTGCCGTTGTCGTCGTCGTCGTTGTAACCGGTAATGCGGCACGACCGTAACGCGGCGGCGCTGTTCCTTTTATTCCGTTAATGCCGCGCGTTTGTCATTCTTAAAAAGGGAGTCGTTATAGGCCCGTTTGCAATAGCGCCTTGAGATTTATGCAAACAATGCCCAAATTATAGCCCAGATAACATTTGCTACGGCACCGAAGGGATGCCTATAATGTTCTCCGCAGTTTCCTCTGACTTGCGCATTCCATCTCGAGCAAATCTGCTCCGGCAATTGGCTATTGGCTATAAACAAAACAGGTCTGAAATTATGTTTTTTATTCTAATCATTATATCGCGCAATCTGACACGAACATGCTGTAAGCATTTTTGTCGTGGCAAATAAAATCAATTCCAGTGCCCTCTCCCGCGGTGGATGCGCGTGCGCGTGTGCGTGTGCGTGCGTTCGTGCGTGTGCGTGCGTGTGTGCGTCTGTGTGTGAGTGCATTTGTGTGTGGGTGACCTCCTGCCAGCGGGCGTTCGACACTTCACGTGGCTTCAAGGTGCACCTAGCCTGGCACAGGCGCCGTAGTGACTTCACTGCCACTTAGTGGCGAATGGCGGTTGTTGTTGTTGTGTGTGTGAGGAGCGGTAGTATAGCGGTTAGCGTGCTGCGCTACGAACCTGGCATCCCGAGTTCGATTCCCGCTCACGGCCAAGACCAGTGAAGATTATTTGAACTGGTCCTGGGCCTCCCCTAGGTCGACTCAGCCTCAAATTAGTTCCTGGTGCCGTGTGTAAACATCGCCACTAGGGAGACAAAGGCGGCCGGGCGTGGTGCTAGCCACCCACCCCCTCGTGTGCTGTTCCGGCCTCCATAGGTGCTCACTAACCGCACTTGCCCCAACAGTCTATTACAGGACATACTGGGGTGGGGGGGATCTTTGTAAGTCTTTTGTACATGCGCGCGTGCGCTTGCGAACATGCGTGCGTGCGTCTGTCATGGCTCTTTACGCGGCACGCGCGCGGAGCGAAACCGCTGTCGATGGAGCGGCAGTTGCTGTGGGCGCTGGCGCACAAACGAACGGCTCACCGGGGTTTAATATTTGTCACGCGGCAGCAACAACAAAAAAAACCCGCGAGCAATCTGGCATTGCTTCACGCGCTTCTTCGACTTTACCGGTGCAAATTTGTACCTGGCCAGGTGGCTCAGCGGTAAAGGCGTAGCGGCTGCTGAATCGGAAGGTTACGAGTTCAAATCCCGGTCCGGGGTGGGTTGATTCTCCCATAATTTCCCCCTCCGTGGCCCGATACGACGAGTTCCACTATTGCGGGGAAGTCACTGGCAGTTGTCCTGTGCGAGAGACCTGCATCGGCCATAGGAATGTGAAATTTCGCCACCGCTGGCTTCAGGGGGCCTTGTACAGTAAGCAGGTGATGGGGCAGCAGTGCCTCGATGCTCAGAGAAGAAGGGACATTGCACGAAACGTCGCGGATTGCGTTTTCTTTTAGGGCAGAGTGCGTTGAGGTTTTTTGTTGTTGCTAATTGTACTTTTGTTTTGAAAATTGAGGATCGGGGACCACGTTTTGTTGACAAGGGTTTAAGATGACGCATCGGCTCGCTGATATATCTCAAACACGTCCGCTGGGTGATTATGCAATGAAGTCAAACATAATCAGTTTGAATCGCCCCCTCGAGATGGTAATTTTGTTTTCTCCTGTAGAGTGAAGGTTTAGCAGAAATGCCCATTTCAGACGCTCCGAATAAAAGTCAGGTCATTGCGGGGGCACTGGAAAAGCTTCTCCTGATCGTCGTGACTTTATTCGGTGTTGAGGGATTTTTGTGGAAATAATCTCTCGCGAGGATTTCATCGTGTAATATGACATGTTCGGCGGAGCGATCGGTGGCGCAGCGGTTAGCACACTCTGCTATTAACCCGGGGACCCCGGTTCGATTCCCCAGCTATGGCTGATATCATTTGCGAATTAAATCTGAAGCGGTGCTGAGCTGCTTCTTCACCATCGCACGAAGACAAAGATCCCCCATATGGCCTTTAACATACTGTAAGGGCAAGTGCTGTTAAGTGCTGTTAGTGACACCTATGAAGGCCAGCTCGGCACACGAATGGGTGGGTGGCCAGCACCACGCCCAGCACCGGTTCAGATAATCTTCGCTGGTGTTGGCCGTGCACAGGAATCGAACTCGGTTCGCCAGGATCGCAGTGCATCGCGCTAACCGCTCCGCTACCGCTATACCAGCGTACACGCACACTGATCAGTGTGGCAAAAATGATGAAGAGCGGTGGCATGGGGTGGCCTTCATCCAGCAATAGGTTAACATCGGCGTGCCGCGCGGATCACGATTGAATGAATGTGATGGCTCCATTGTCTCGCATCGAGTCCACTGCATGCCGACGAAGAAGTC